TCGAAATAGCAGAGAAGAGAAGAAGACCTCTGAAATGCCGTGAATGTCGAACTGAATAGCTCAGTCGACAGTACTGTTATTTATATTAGAATGTAGTACAATGATACAAGGAATTACTGGAATGCCCCTGATTAGTGATGGGACACCCAGACAACTTAAAACATTAAACAGGATTAGGCCCATTAACACAGGCCCAGTACAGGATAACTTGAACTTAAGTATAGGCTAATAAGAACTCTTATCAGCCGAACACTCATACATACAAAGACTTCAATCCAACACCCCCGACTCAAATTTTCTTCGACCCCCTTGCAACCCCTTCACTACTCCCCCGCCTTGTCATTCAGGCCCCAAGTGAGTCTCATCATTTCCCTATTTCTCTTTGAATTTGTCCCTCCTTTTTTTGCCGCCATTTTTCCCCTCTCCATCAGAATTCTTTGCTCAATCTCTTCCAAAAATTTTACTGTTTCTGCTTCCATCCCCTCCATCGAAACCCCCAGAAAATTCCCCACACCCAAGAGCTTTGACGTAACCCAAGATGAAGGATTTGTTGCACTGTTACTTGACCTAACTTCCTGACTTGCCACAACATTTGATTTGTCTTTAGACCCTTTCTGGTGAACATCTTCATTACACTTCCTAACTGCAGGGCTTCTCCCTCTTTCCTCCGGCCTTTTGGGTTGATCGAAGTCTTCAGCCAAGTTATCATTTTGACCCACAGAGTCCATCACTGCTAGCGGCGTCACCTCCAATAACTTTGCATTCACAAGCACCAAGGGAAGAGAGCTCTGTTGCTGTCATCAGTGATCTTCTTCCGGCGAGCACTCCAGCCCAGGACGACAAGAGATGGATGTCGCCCCAGCCTGGAAATCTCAGTTCTCAGGGTCCAAAACCTGAGAAGACGACTCCACTGGAGTCTTGACATCCCTCTCAGTTTGCATAAGAGGTTGGCTGACCCAAACCGGCTCCAACCGGACCGGGCTGMACAATCTATGTCTGCCATTGGACCACCTTGGTTCGCTGGCAGATTTTGGAAACTTACTTTTTCTAATCTTCTGGGTGGGTCGGGTATTCAGATTACTGTGATCCGGGTTGAGGTCCTGGACCCGAATCAGAAAAGCCTCTTCTACACGCTCCCCAATCTCTGAAGACTATCTAGAGTTATCTTTCTTCTTCAGCGCGCTCTCCTCCATGGGCGCCACGTGTATTTCTCTTAAACACTCTCTAATTAACTTTTTTATTTCTTCAACCATCGCACCTCCCCCAAAATTCCTCATTTCCGAAGAAGGAGCACTTCTCTCAAGACAATCTCTTGAGAAGAAATCTTGGCCTTCCATAGGTTTCATAATCCCATGGTTCAGATTTAGCCCCAGGTTCGCATCATCTTCCCCTCCAACGATCTCTGACGACCTCGACGGCCGGACATCTCGAATTTGGCAATGTCTAAGAGGTTCTTGCTGCAAAAAGCTCTCCCTAAAATCTTCTAAAACCACCGTCTTAGACACTTCCGAACCCATTCTCTCCTTTTGAACCTGGCTCTCCATCCTCCACCTTCGGACTGATGGTAAAGTTTCAGGCCAAATGCAAACAGAGAAAAGAGATTCCCCAACCACAATCTCCACCTTTGCAGGGATCAGATCGCCCTTCCTCACCTTCATTCGAATCCACTCACACGTGGCCAATGTAGCAGGAGAATCGTCCGTTTCAAGGAAACCACCGTAGGCATCCCCAATCGCTTTGATCACGCTCGGACACCAGAGAAGTAGAGGTAGGACAAACACTCTAATCCACATGGACTCCGAACGATCGAAATCCTCACTTGATTCTGGGTAGAAGCAACCCGCACTAGCTCCCCACCAATCGAGGAGGAGATGATTCCTCCCCATTTTCCATGGACCATTATTGAGAATCCATTTTGCATCTGATCTAGAAGAGAATGAAGAGGAAAAGATCATCCGCCAGCTTCTTCACCCTCACTCCCCCCACCTCCTTCCACGCTTTGCTTGCCCAGCTTTCCAACTCTTGAACCCCTACCCTCCACCAGAATCTTCCCACCAAGCAGTCACGCAGGAATTTTCTTCTTGCCTCAACCCCATGGATCTCTGTCAAAACCACCTGCTTCTCCTCCACCAGTTTCAGTTCAGAAAGTCCAAAGTCCGACCATACTCCCGCCGACACCGCTTTACTGTAAGAAAAGTTCGGTCTTGTCCTCTCACCTATCCCTTTTCTCCTTTTCCAGTTCTGAGCTTCCCATCTTCTCCCTCCCCCTTGAGGTCTCTGAGAAGTTCTTTTATGGAGCATTCTTCTAGTTATCAGTTATCACCACTCACAACAGATACACAGGAAATCTTTCATCTCATCGTGAAGATGATTCCCTTCGGTCACAGTAGCCATCAGAATGAAGATGAGACATGAATATCGCAGTTAAATAATTTCTATCCATGTCCTTTTGGGTCTGTCCCTAGCTCTTCTAGCCCCAACAATTTGGAGTAGTTCTCAAATATACACCCGTTCAGTTAACCCTTTCTAATCCTTGCATTTCATAACCTTGTACCAGAAACCCCTTACATTTTCTTAGAAGAAAACCCCAGGATTTCTTCAAATAACACACCAATCAAATGCTAATAGTTCCTGGTAGTTGCAAAGTGAAATTTACCTTCTATGTTGCAAAAATGTTATCTTTTGGGTCCATTGTACTAGAGTCTTGCTCCATCACACATCAACTAGTCTTGACAGTTAGACCATCGTTAAGTATTGTTCAAGATAGAAAAACAATGATAACATATTTTATAACAATGATTTTAGGATGCTTCAAATCAAGTCAATAATTATACAAGATAATGCCCTTCATAAATTTTCATCCACAAATAAGTTTGCTTACAGAATATGAAATATAGACTGGTTGATCAACCAAAGGTAACTCTCCTTGAAAAAGCCTTGTGCTGAAATCAGTGTTTTCTTCAAGAGTTCCTTTAAATGTGATGTTCCCTCCTCCACTATAAGATGTGTCCTTAAAACTACCAATTGAAAATTATTGATTAGAAAAAAGAAAGATAAAAATAGAATCATAAATTAAGTTCCTAAATAAACCTGGAGAAATAGCAAAAATGGAAAGGAAGCTTTCACTGTGACATAGACTGGTTCATTACTTTGCTTTTTCAATTTCTTTCTAATAAGCTCTGTAATATTATGTTCCAAAGCTCCAAGGGGTTTTGAGGGGAAGGGATAATTTTATATTTCCAACTGATTAGACCATCAAGACCACATCTTAGATGTAGTTATGTAATTATTAACTCTAAACATAGATGTAAAGAGACTGGGCCGAATGGGTCCTAGTATCCTCTCTTGTAATATTTTTTCTATTTTCCTGTTAGCTAATGGGCCTCTCTTAATGGGCCTGTTATTTCTTTTTGTTTGATCTCTTTATGTTACTGCCTAGCTGGCCGCCCACTTAAGGGCATACTTGTAATTATTTTAACATTAATTTTTAGTAAAAAGGATTAGAGAAGAA